GAGCAAGGAAGGAGAGAGGGAGGTTCATTCCTGGCATTTGGGGAATGCTGATTTGTGCTGACACCTTGCATCATGTCCTCTTTGGTTCCATGTGCTTGTGGGTTTCCCTTTGGGCAAGGGTTGGTTGCCACTGACTGACAGAACTTGGACAAAAGCCATCTGAGGTCTAGAGAAATCCAGAAACACGAGAAATCAAAGATGTTATATAATGTATCTTGTTTTCTCTCTTTCTCTCTGAGTATTTTGAATCCTTCAATATTTAATTGATTATATGGAACTTCTGATGAGATGGAGGACATTCTGACCATCATTGATTAACTCTTCTTTCTTCCATTCTGTTTCAGCCACACTGGCCTCCTGATTGATCCTGCAGCACACCAAGCAAGTTGCCTCAGGCCCTTTGCACCTGTTACTCCCCCAAGATTGACTCATAGGCTACATTTTCAGCAAGGCCTGCTTTGATTGTCACCTTACTTAAATTTCATTCTCACACTCTACATTCTTCTTCCTTAGTTCATTTTTCTCTAAATGACCTAGCACTATATACCATATTCACTTTTTTATTTAAATTATTGTCTCTACCCCTGTCTAACTAGAACAGAAGTGTCCCCCCATAGGTAGGGAGGTTTTTCTTTTATTTGTTTCCTTCACTGATATAGAATGATACTTAAAAGATGGAATCTGTAACTATTAATTGAACAAAGAATTAATGAATGAAAAGAAACATATCCATAGTGAAAATGGGAAAACACTGTTTTGTATTTTGATCATCAAGAGAAAGTAACTAAATATAAACAAAGAAAACAGGAATGTTTTAAGTCTGAAATAGAAAAGGAGACCAGGAGACCATGACCTGTTTGCCAAAATGGTGGTGTGTTAAAGGAAGTGAGAATTCAACCATGTGACACCAAGCACAGAACGTATGTATGGTGACTCTGCATCTCCTGTATCACAGCTACTCCTCATCACACATCCGTGGCCTTCCCATCCAGCCTGGAAGCTTTGCCATCCACCAATCTGGCTTCGCACAGGATGGGATGCTAGGAGCAATGCCTCTTCTTCTGGCGTAAGACTTAAGTTCTTTCAGGTTTCTGAGGTATGGGCTAACTAAAGGCAGTGGGTGTCTAAAATACAAGATGCAGAAGGAAGGATGTGCAGTCTCCAGGGCTGGAGTAACTATGCCCGTCTGTGGTGGTCCCTTCCTGGGCCTGTGCTCTCATGGCAAATGACCAGGAGAGTTCTAGCACACCCTGTGGATGGTGCACAAATACCCACCATATTCAGGGCCTGCAGGGAAGAAAGTACAGTGCTTTGTACCCTCCTAAGATAACTGGGGAAGCAGATTGGGCACCTCTTTTCCTAACAGATACCTAAGGGAACTGGGCAGCTGCTCCAAGGTGCTATGTGTCGCAACTGAACCTCCTCCCCTCAGAGAGTGGCCTTAGTCACAGGTAACCTGGCCAGGGATAGTGTGCCTTAAAGCCACATGTTGATCCAAAAGCCACCTGTAGTTGATTTGATAATTCACATTCCTCCCCTTGATATCCAGCTACAATTATGTGAGGAATTCACCAGGAAACTGTGTGAAGGTGCATGGGAAGTCCTCACTGCATGATTTTTGCAAAATCTTCTGAGTCTACAATTATTTTAAAATACAAATCCTAATAAAAAAAGAACCTTCAAATATGTTGGAGGAATAAGGGGATTTGAGAAGGAAAGAAGAAAAAGAAGAAGAAGAGGAAGGGGAGGAGGAGGGGGAGGAGGAGGAGGAAGAAGAGGAAGAGGAAGAAGAAGAGGAAGAGGAGGAGGAGGAGAAGGAGGAAGAGATTGAGGAGATGGAGGAAGAGGAGGAGGAAGAATAATGAATGAATTATTTGTGGAATACAAATCGAGCCAACACCCAAGATGTCTGCAGTGTCATAACTTGCCCTTTTGAAGTAGTGACATTCCATCTTCTGAGTAAGAATGGACACCTGCAAGACAAGACTTCAGCCAATTTGTTTCCTAGTCACCGAGCTCTGCCCACTTGAGACAGAAGTCCTTTCTTCTGCTCGTGGCTGGAGCCTTTTGTGCTTGGAGTTTCTTAATTAGTGCTTTGTGCTACTTAGGAATTGCTTCAAATATAAGGTCAGAGGTAAGGAAAGAGGACCTGTACCACATCTCAGACAGCAGGTGAGGCGGACCTCCTCCCATCCTCCCCAGGACTTTGACTTGTGATTGGAAGGATCGGGAGAGAGAAAGGGAATAACGCCCACTGCATAGATGATTTGAAACACCATTGTAAATGTGAATAAATCCCTATCCCATTATTACCCTCTGTGCTCTGAAAGCTCTCACATTATAGGAAGACATTGCCCTTTTAATGAAACCATGGTAAAACGGGAACCACTATAGCTTTGAGGACAAACCTGGTAGCTGTGGCTTAATGAAAAAAATAACACCCTGTACTGCCATCAGGAGTTCAGTGCTGTCAGGCGCCGGTGGCTCACACCTGTAATCTTAGCTACTGGGGAGATCGGGAGGATCTTGGTTCAAAGGCAGCCATGGGCAAACAGTTCATGAGACCCTATCTCTAAAAAACCCATTACAAAAAAGGGGTGGTGGAGTGGCTCAAGGTGAAGGCTCTGAGTTCAAGCTCCAGTACCACACACACACACCACACCACACACACAAATAAAAGGTCAGTGCCTATTGAAGTTTGGGTGGATGTTTAGAGATACCCTGTTGGTAATTGTCAACATGCTTATGCACCAGGCATTGTGGTAAGCCCCTTACAAATAAATACTAGTTCACGGAGTCCTCACAACTATGTGGAAGTGTGTACTGTAATTGGCTCTGTTTTTAAGTTGAGATTATCAAGGCAGGGGGAAATTAGGTCACTCGGTTAGAGTCACACAGACAGTGACTGGAAGAGACAGGAGCAGAACTAAGGTGAGTGGTGTCCTCCACCAATACCCCTGACTTTGGGATGAGCCTGCCACTTGCAGCCAGAAGGTCCTAGACTTGAGACCCAGGGACACAGGTGGCTCAGCTTATACTCAGCCCTAGGACATAGCAAGTTTATACTCTCTGAAGAGGAAGGTTAGCTGAATTCGAGTCTGAGGACAATGATGCCTCTGAAAGGGGATATCTCTTTAGCAATGCTCTCTTTCCTGCCCTCTGTCTTCAGGTGGCAAAGCCTGGGAAGATGGATTTATCTTAGCATGCTATGACCTAAAACCAAGGGTGAAATGACTTACTGAAATGACTTACTGTAACGTAAACCCAGCCTCACAGATCGGTATCTTCCCCCACTCAAGGCAGGAGGAAACGAACTTGGCTCTTTTATCTGAATCTTGACTCTCTTGGTCCCACAGATACAAGGTGATGACGCTTCCAATAAGTCGCCAGTCCTCTGTGAGGGAGGTCCCTTCGCCTCGTGTAGCAGGTCTCTTGCAGACCACACAATGCTTACAGTGATGGGGATCTCCCCATATGGTGAAAGCTCAAATCCTGCAAGGACACAGGACTTTCACAACTACCTTGAAAGGGATGGAAAAGTCCTCTGATTACATCAAACCCTGTGAATGAGGCTCTGCAAATTAGTTCACTAGACATGGAAAGAAGGAGCTGAGGAAGATGTGGTTTAGTGGTAGAGCACCTACCCAGCATGCACAGGACTTGGGTTCAAGTCTCAGCAACCACAGAAAAAAAATTATTTTTCAAAGAAAAATAATCATTTCTTGGCCTTTTGGCTAAGACCAAAGAAAAATCCTGACAATGAGGCTAAGACAGAAACTTTAGAAAAGAATTTGAGTCCAAAGGATTAAGAAATACCTTAACAAACTTCCTGAAGTCTTTGTAAAGCATACACTTTATGCAAAGCAAAAAAGCACAGTTCAAAAAATAACCATCCTTGTAATCACATTGAAAGTTAAAGAAATGTCAAAGACCAGGTAACATGCTATCCTTCCATTTTTCAAATATTTTTCCAAACAACTCATGCAAAATGCATTTTTTTTATTCTAAAAGGAACCATAGTGGCTGGTAGAGTGGCTCAAATGGTAGCTTGTTTGCTTAGCAAGCCTGAGGCCCTGAGTTCAAACCCAGTGCTACAAAAAAAAAAAAAAACCCAAAACAAAAAAGCCTTCTAAAAAGTACCATAGCTGAATAATTGCATAAATGCAATTATAACCTGTTTTTCTTAAATATAATAGAAAAAACCTACTTTGATAATCTTTATTTAAGAAACAAATCTCAAACCAATATATTTTCATTATTGTAAAGTTCCAATCCACATTTGCAGAAGATCTGCTTTAAGTGGATGTCTCCAGTATTTATTATCCTGAAAGTAAGTGCTCCTGAACCAAATTCTCAAATCCTTACAGAGTGACGAAGTGGCCCTATTAAATCTTTCTTTGGTGCAATCTGCTGAGCCAGCAGTGGTAATGGTAGAGAGCTACCCAGTGGCTGTCTTAAGTGTGTGTTTTATGAGTCGGAACACCGCCGCTGACAGGTTTTCTGTCGGGCATGTCCTGGGATGACTATTAAGCTGGAGGCATCCCAGTCTTTCACTGGCAACATTCAACTCCAGCAAATCGAAGAGTACAGGTACAATTCTTGGCTCTTTCCACACCTCCCCCATGTGGTCCCTGTGCCTTTTCTTGGGATCCCTGAATGTGTTTTTATCAAACCACCAGTATGAGCAGATCTGCAAACAAATTCAAAACCAAACAGAAGACTCAAATTTCTCTCCAGTGTGATGAAAGCTCAGGATTCAAAGAGGCTGAGTATTGTAGCCTTGCTTCCTTTGCACATGGCTTCCACCCTCACGTCCCCATTTCCCCCCACAACACACAGCCTAAGCAGCAGAGCTGCTGAGGACACCTGGGCAGGTGCCAGACTGGGCTTCCATACTAGGTGGAAGATCCCAGTAGGAAATGAGCGTTTGTCCCCCCAGCATGGAATCCAGCCTTAACCCTAGACATCAAAGATGTCCAGAGTCCACCCAGGACACCTACCTCAGGATGAAAAGGTCCACAGTGGAGTTGCTTGAGATGGTGACATAGGCGGTAATTACATCCCCTTGCTTAACTGGCTGTGAGGGCAGCCAGATGACCACATTGCCATCCAAACGCAGTTCACTGAGCTGGGCACTGTCCTCGGTGCGGTAAAGGCTGACGGTACCAATTCTGTGCAGGTGGGACATCCTGTCCTCCAGCCCATCCTTCCCTGGACGGATGGCATTGCCCTTCCTGACATCGCCCCCAGCACAGTCCCCTCGCACGTCCCCCGGCTGCACCGTGTAGTAGAGCTCCACGCGGCTCCCATCGTGCTGCTCTGTGGGCCTCCTGCGCCCGGCCACCACCGAGGGGCCACTGAACCAGGTGGACATCAGCTCCAGCTCCGCCACGCACAGCCCCAGGGGCCCACTCAGCTGGCAGCTGCCCCGCACCTCCCGGGTCTCCCGGAAGGCAAAGACCCGCAGGCACGGCAGCTTCTCGGGGGTCCTGTGGTCATCCCAGTCCCGGCCCACGATGTAGAAGAGCACCTGCACCTTGGGCCGGCTCAGGTAGATCTTGTCCCGCAGGATGTAGGCCTTCAGTTTCCAGTCAAATGTAAATTTACTGGTTGAGCCTAAAACCTCAGAGGTGAGCATCAAGTCCAGAGGCACCACCTTCTCTGTTGAGTAAGGACCATAGCTTGCATTTAACACTGGAGGCTGTTTGGCTCTGTAGGTGAAGAAGGACTCCACCCTGTCCTGCAGGCTGGCATTCTGCCCCAGGTTGGGGTTGGTTTCCTTTAGGAAGAAGAAAGTCTCTGCTCTGAGGACTTGGTAGCTCACAGGTAGATACGGTGGCAGTGAGGAAAATCTCTGAATGTTGTCTGTGATCCCACGTCCCTCAATCACTAAAGGAGGAAAAAAGAGAAGCAAAGAAAAGGAGTTATTAACAAGTTCCTCCTCTGTTAGGTCTGTAAGAGGTTTAGGAATTCTGAAGTCTACCTGCCTAGGATTTTTATTTTCCTTCTGGAATTGGCCAGTAAGTGACTCTAAAAGGACTACAAATTATACACTCAGATTGGGTTGAAATATGCAAAACAGAATTCTGCAGAGTGAGAGTCAATGAGTAATGGCATTTCATACAGTTCACCTAACAGAAAGGGGCCCATTACCTATGAGATGTAATTTGTATGAGTTTAAATTGCATTTAATGGCACTAGTACATGAATAGGAAAATAGACCAATGAAACAGAATAACGTCCATAAATAAATCAAATAACACATAAAAATGTAGGAGGAGATAAGGCTGTCATCTCAAATCCTGAGCGATATATTCATTTTAATAAAAGATGTCAAGGCAACTGGGTAGCCATTTGGAAAAAAAGATAAAATTAGAACATAGTTAAGAATAGACTTCAAATGGACCAGTGATTGAAATATAAGAAAAGTAAATCTTTTAAGTAGTAAAAAAACCCCCCAAAATGAAGAATTTCTCTACAACTTGAGTTTAGCAAGTTTTCTAATCATGGCTCAAAATCTAAATGTATTTTTAAATGATACATTTGATAATATAATTAAAAAAATATTTGCAGTACAGAGATCCCATAAAATCAAAAGAAAATTGACAAATAGGGAGAAAATATTTGCAATGGATTTATTGCAGACAGAAGGCTAAGATCCCTAGAGTGGACGTATCTTGTCATATGAGGAAGAGACATAAACAAAAAATAATTGAAAATGGCCCAAACAATGTATGCACATATGAATAAATGAATAAATTTTTAAAAATCAGAAAAAATTGAGAGAGAAAAGGGCAAACACGTGAATGGACAATTCACTGAAAATATATTAAAACTTCCTTTATATATTTGAAAACTATTCAATCTCACCCAGTTAGAGAAATGCAAGCTATGAACAAAGAGCATTTCTCACCTATCAGATTGGCCGAAATTACGAAGTATCACAACACACGGTTGGCAAGACTAGACAGCAGACAGTCTAGTGCATTGCGGCCGAGAAGAAAACATGGTGCAACTCTTCTGGAAGCAAAGATGACCTATGACGCAATGACGCAGTGACGTAATGACGCAACACACGCGTTTACTTTTTACTTAGTGATTCCAATTCTAGGCATCCACTGTGCTGTACAGACGCAGCTGAGGCACCCTGAGGCAGTGCAATGCACCTATGCACAATGTCATTCATTACAACATGGTTTCTTATTATAAAATGTTTTTGCAACTTCATTACAGTGTATAAAATACAACCCACATATGCATACATAGGACAATGGCAGAATAAATTGTGGTCCTCCCACACAACGGAGCACGATGGGCTAAAAAAAGAGGGCATAAAGTCTTATGAAACCAATATGGAGAGATTTCTAAAACATACCGATAAGTGAAAAAGCAAACTATAGAAGGCTGCAGTCTACTGCCTTTTGTGTAAGAAGGGAGATACTACATCTATGTGTCTGTTCACTTGTGTAAAATAGACACAGTAGTAGAACAATCAGTTTATCAACAGGGAACAGGGATCTCAGGATGGGAGGAGGGATGGGAGTGGACAGGAGAGGAGAGTTTTTTGTCCAGTTCTGAATTTTGGACAGCATTTTATCATGACAGCATTTTACATATAATATTTTTGGGGGGCTACTGGGGTTTGAATCCAGGGTCTACATCTTGAACCACTCCACCAGTCTTTTTGTGTGTGTGTGATGGGTTTTTTCAAGAGAGGGTCTCACGAACTATTTCCCCAGGCTGGCTTCGAACCGCAGTCCTCCTGATGTCTGCCTCATGATTAGGTAGGATTACAGGTGTGAGCCACCAGCGCCACTAATAACAAGGGTGAGTCAAAACCCTAAACTGCTTGACAATAGGAATTAAGTGAATATTAAAACCATACTGGAGGGTGAAGACTCATAGACAGATATTGAAATAGAGTTAGAAAATTTGTTTTGAGCAGAATGGATTAGAAATTCTGAAAGTACGTTCTGTATGGTATAGGATCAAGCAAGTGAAAATTACATTGTGAAAAGGGAGGGTCAGGTTTCTCACGGTCAGGGAGGGGTGACAGAAAGTGAGGAGTCCAGGATGAAAGCTCGGGTATGTTAGGATGGAGGCATAAGTACGAACTCAAGGTTTAGTAGATTGTAAATATGGCATGTACACATTTCCTGGTTCTGTCTGCTGAAAGAAATGGCAGCCCGGGAGCAATAAGCACTCACAGCCGCTAGACATTGGTTTCCAAATACCATTATCCACTAAGAGGAACCAAGAGTTTTTGGAGAAATGTCTGACCCATAGTACTAGTATGAAGGGCCTGTAACGTTTGTATGTCAGACAAAGAGGAAGACCATGAAGAATGAAGGGCATGTCAAAAGGACGCAGGAGCTGTCACCTTGAAGAGGTTCTCACTGGACAAACCCCCATGACAACTTTAGCATTGAAATACGTGACCATGGTGCAGGATGGCCAATGATTAAATGAAACATGAACCCCGGAGTCAATACTGATATAATAAAGCTAAATTGAAAAGAACGTTCTTTGTTGTGGAGTAGGACAGTCTGATCACAACATTCACAGCAGTGATAGACTCGGGCAAGATTTTTAACCATGAATGAAGGTTAAAAATCACAGGTGAGTTTCATGAGTAAGAAGACATTCCCATCTTGAGTTGTCTCCCAACAGGACAGTCCAAGTTGTTCACTGAATCACTAAGGAGTCATCGTAGGTTTTGTGGAGAAACCTTCCAGACAACTCTTTTTCCAAATTTAATATCACCCCAATGTGCACTGAGAACACCATAATTCCCCCATATTCTTGCAAAAGTAAAAAAGCATAATTTTCAGCTAAGGATGATGAAGTTTCTGAAAGACATGATATCAAATAACTGCTCTGTCCTTATCAAGAATGCTCAAGTCATGGGAGATGAGGAAGTGGGAGGGAGTCAGAGTTTCAGATTAGTGCAGAACATGTCCACAGAGACAGAAAACCAAAGGCAGCACACGAGAATGTTTCTTTTCCTCAAAAGAGCACTTTTAGGAAAATGACAAAATTTTATTAGTCTCCCAAATAGCCACTAATGTTAATGTCCTCATTTTATAGCTCTACTTAATTATATAAGAGGATATCTTTACTCAGCAATTCATTCTGAAGCAGCTCAATAGAAAGAGATGGAAAGACAGACAGTCTGAGAGACAGAGAATCGGAGACAAAAAGACAGGATAAGGGGACAGAGGGAGAGAGAGAAACAATACATGAAGGCAAATACAATGACATTTTAATAGTTGAGGAATCTGGGTAAAAAGTATATGTAAATTTTCTATTATTGCAATTTTTCTTAAGCCAATGTTTAGTGAAATAAATACAATGAAAGCAGGATATCTTGGTCTGTTTTTTAATCCCTCATTTCTCTTGTGGAGATTTTTGCCTGTTTATTTATTCATTAGGCAAAAATACTAATGAGACAAGTCATTTTCCCATATTATTCAGAAATAATGAGTGAATGCAATTATTCCTAACAGTCTCCAGATTCTTGTGTAATCTCGACCACTTGTCAGGGAGTGAGTGATATTTTTGTCATTAATCACTAAAGACATTATGCTGTCACTATCATCTTCTATCACAGCTGGGGTTGAAGGTTCTCACTATTAACACTTCCAGACAAAATGAGTAAGACACACCAAATAACCCTATAGCCCCTCTCCATTGGATGGAGGCCTCTTCCAAAGCCACGGTGGGATTCGGCTCCCAGGGTGGTCAACACAGCTTGGACTTCAATGCCTGACTTCTGCCCTGCGTTGTTATTTCAAGTCCGACTTTATAGACTGATTGCCCCTAGGCTAAGCAGAGCTTATACATGGGTGTTGGTTGGGCCTTGGTATTTTACAAGATCTCTAGGAATTAAAATCCATTTTTTAAAAGCTGGGGAGTCTCTGGGTTTTCAGGTTCTCTTTAAATGTGGGAGGAACTGACAGCATTTAGATTTATCTGCACCTGGCAAAAGCAGAGAAAGTGTTGGGCAAACCCAGTGCTCGCTGTTGTCTGACCCTCAGCCCACACCAACCAACCTGCCTGCCCCTCAGGACTACTTGAGTTTGACACTCTGAGTTTGGAATCATCAGCCAGTGAAATCCATGTCTACTAGGGGCTGGAAGATCCAATACTGATGCAAGAAAGTGAAGCTCATCTTCCTTCCCTGCTGTGTTTCTCCATCCATCCCAGTGTCAGAACATGTTCTCACTAAGATCCCACATTGCTTTGATTCACAGATGGAGGGCACCGTCAAGAACTCACTACACACCCAGGACCCAAGAATGTCAAGTGCTTAATTGCTAACTTTGCAAGCCCAAATGCCACCTCCTTGTCCTGGTCTTTCATAACCCCAAGAAACCCAAAGGAACCTCAGTTTATATGTTGAGAGAGAAGATGGGGGTTACTCTCTTTGTGCTGACCTTCCCTTCTGTCCCTCCCTCCAGCTGCAGGCTGTGCCTCCCTCCAGCTCTCCCCTGGAAGTGTCCCTAATCCTTTCCTGGTGGGACTGGCAAGCAGATCAAAGCTCCCTCTGCTGCTGCTGCAGCCAGATGGACTTGAGTTGTCAGGATGGCTTTTCAAAGAAATGACACACTCGCCTGCTCCAAGCCCAGGGGCTGTTTTCTGAGGTCACTAGTAACAAGGGCATCTTCTTCCCTCTCTCATTAGAATTGGCTCAGCATTTTCATCCTAATCCACTCAATTCAACATGGATTTAAACACACTCAAAACACCCCGGGTAGAACATTCCAGAAAGTGTTTTGTATCTCTCTTCTGAAAAGAGTCATTAAGTATATTAGCAATTTGTAACATTTGGTAACACCAACAAGCTAATTGCCACATCTACTGCTTTTAGTCTGAGCATTCACCAGTGT